CCCCAACAGTCAGCGGGAAATTGAGAAACAAATATGTAAGGAGATCGGCTATCTGTAAGAATAATAGGGTTGTAATGGTCGGGGACTTTAACTTGCCAAACAGACTGGAACTGTCATAGTGTTAAGGGCTTGGATGGGGAGGAATTTGTTAAGTGTGTACAAGCAAACTTTCTTATTCAATATGTGGTTGTACCTAATACAGAGGGAGCAATACTTGACCTTCTGTTGGGAAATAAGGTAGGGCAAGTGACTGAGGTGTCAGTGGGAAAGCACTTTGGGGCAAATAGTCATAATTCTACTAGTTTTAAAATAGCTATAGAACTAATCAAAGTTAAAGTTCTAAACTGGAGTAAGGCCAATTTTGATGGTATTAGATAGGAATTTTCAGAAGTTGATTGGGAATGCTTTTCTAGTTGGGAAGTGGGAGGCCTTTAAAAATGAGATAACAAGAATTCAGAGACAGTATGTTCCTGTTAGTGTAAAGGGCAAGCTGGTAGGTACAGGGAATGCTGGATGACTAGAGAAATCGAGGATCTGGCCAGGAGAAAGAAGAAGGCATATATCGTGTATAGACACTGGGATCGAGTGAATCCCTAGTGAAATATAAGGGCAGTAGGATTATACTTAAGAGGGAAGTCAGGAGAGCTAAAAGGGGACATGATATAGCTTTGGGAAATAGAGTTAAGGAGAATCCAGAGAAATTCTATAAGTACATTTAAGGGCAAAAGAGTAACTAGGGAGAGAATAGAGCCACTTAATTATCAATGTGGCCATGTACATGTGAAACCACAGGAGATGGGTGAAATACTAAACAAATATTTATGGTGGAGAAGGACATGGAAGCTAGGCTACATGGGGAAATGAATGGTGATGTCTTGAGAAGAGTTTATATTACAGAAGAGGTGCTGGATGTCTTGGATGCATAAAGGTAGATAAATCTCCAGGACCTGATCAGGTGTTTCCCAGAACTTTGTGGGAAACCAGGGAAGAGATTGCTGGGCTCCTTGCAGAGATATTTGTATCATTGACAGCCATGCGTGAGGTCCTTGAAGAATGGAGGATTGCTAATGTAGTGCCATTATTTAAGATAGGCTGCAAGGAAAAGCCAGGGAACTATATGCTGGCGAGCCTTTATGTCAGTGGTGGGTAAGTTGTTGGAAGGGATTCTGAGGGACAGGATTTACATGCATTTGGAAAAGGATGATTTGGGATAGTCAGCATGGCTTTGTGCGTGGGAAATCGTGTCGCACTAAGTTGATTGCGTCTTTTGAAGAGGTGACAAAGAAGATTGATGAAGGCAGACCAGTAGATGTTGTCTGTATGGACTTCAGCAAAGTGTTCAACAAGGTTGGACATGGTAGATTGGTTGGATAGTAAGGTTAGATCATGTTGGATCCAGGGGGAGCTAGCCAATTGGATACAAAATTGCATTGACGGTCGGAGACAAAGGATGGTGGAGAGTTGTTGTTTAGACTGGAGGCCTGTGGCCAGCGGTGTGCCACAAAGATTGGTACTGGGTCCAATGCTTTTCATCATTTATATAAATGATTTAGATGGGAATTTAGGAGGTATGATTTAGTAAGTTTGCAAATGACACCAAAATAGGTGGTATAGTGGACAATGAAGAAGATTATCTGAGTACAATGGGACCCTCATCAGGTGGGCCAATGGGCTGAGGAGTGGCAGATGGAGTTTAATTTAGATAAATATGAGATGTTGCATTTTGGTAAGGCAAACCAGGGCAGGGCTTATCCAGTAAATGGTAGGCCTCTGGGAAGTGTTGACGAACAAAGAGACCTAAGGGTACAGATTCATAGTTCCTTGAAAATGGAGTCACAGGTAGACAGGGTAGTGAAGGACGTATTTGACACGCTTGCCTTCCTTGGTGAGAACGTTGAGTATAGGAGTTGGGATGTCATGTTGCGGCTTTATAGGACATTGGTGAGGTTACTTTTAGAATATTGCATACAGTTCTGATTGTCCTTCTACAGGAAAGATGTTAAACTTGAGAGGGTGCAGAAAAGATTTACAAGGATGTTCTTGGAACTGGATGGTTTGAGTTATAGGAAGACACTGAATAGGCTGGGTTTTTTTTTCCTGGATCATTGGAGGCTGAGGGGTGACCTTTTGGAGGTTTATAAAATCATGAGGGGCATGGATAGGGTGAATAGCCAAGGTCTTTTTCCCAGGATAGGGGATTTCAAAACTAGAGGACATAGGTTTAAGGTTAGAGGGGAAAGATTTGAAAAAGGACCTGAGGGATAACTTTTGCATACAGAGGGTATTGTGTGTATGGAATGAACTGCCAAAGGAAATGGTTTAGGCAGGTTCAATTACAACATTTAAAATGGATCTGGATGGGTATGTGAATAGGAGGGGTTTAGAGGGATATGGGCCAAATGCTGGCAAATGGGGCTAGGTCAGATTGGGATGTCTGGTTGGAGCGGACAAGTTGGACCAACGGCTCTGTTTCCCTACTGTATGACTCTATGACACTAAGTCACATCTGACTCTTCTAAACTCCAGAGGATACAGGATTAGCCTGTCTAGCCTTTCCTCACAGGCAATTTGCTCATTCCAGGTGTTAGTCTAGTAACCTTTCTCTGAACTGCATCTAATGCATTAACATCCTTCAGTAAGTACAATGTACTGTATTTCACACGTGGTCTCAACAACAGCTTGTATAAGTGAAGCATAACCCCTCTTAAAAAACAAGTAAACACAACTCAGAATGTGTTCCAGTAACTTGTTAGTGGAGTGCAGAAACTCCTTTTATGGTCCTTAGTTTAGAGCAGTTCTTTCCCATTTTGGTCCACAATCCAAAAAGAAAGACATGGTCTTCATACATTCCAAAATATATCATTTCTTTTATTTTCAGTTGTTATCTAATATTGATTATTTTGAAAGATGTTTAACCTGAAAATCTACAACAAACCCTTTCTGGAAATCTTGGATTTGCATTATTATAGAACATAGAACATAGAACATTACAGCGCAGTACAGGCCCTTCGGCCCTCGATGTTGCGCCGACCTGTGAAACCAATCTGAAGCCCATCTAACCAAAACTATTCCATTATCATCCATATGTTTATCCAATGACCATTTAAGTGCCCTTAAAGTTGGCGAGTCTACTACTTTTGCAGGCAGGGCATTCCACGCCCTTGCTACTCTCTGAGTAAAGAACCTACCTCTGACATCTGTCCTATATCTATCACCCCTCAATTTAAAGCTACGTCCCCTCGTGCTGGCCATCACCATCCAAGGAAAAAGGCTCCCACTGTCCACCCTATCTAATCCTCTGTATTATAGCCCTGTACCAGCTCACAAAAAATCTTGATGCACTTCACATATTTCATTTGTGTTGCAAAATGTAACATATTGTGGAAAAACAACTTCTATAAACAGTAAAGAAATAATGACTCGGGGACCGCTTTGCAGAACACCTACGCTCGGTTCGCAACAAACAACTGCACCTCCCAGTCGCGAACCATTTCAACTCCCCCTCCCATTCCTCAGATGACATGTCCATCCTGGGCCTCCTGCAGTGCCACAACGATGCCACCCGAAGGTTGCAGGAACAGCAAACCCTGCAGCCCAATGGTATCAATGTGGATTTCACAAGTTTCAAAATCTCCCCTCCCCCCACCACATCCCAAAACCAGTCCAGCTTGTCCCTGCCTCCCTAACCTGTTCTTCCTCCCACCTACACCCTCCTCCCACCTCAAGCCGCACCTCCATCTCCTACCGACCAACCTCATCCCGCCCCCTTGACCTGTCCGTCCTCCCTGGACTGACCTATCCCCTTCCTAACTCCCTACCTACACTCACCTTTACTGGCTCCATCCCCGCCTCTTCGACCTGTTTGTTTCCTCTCCACCTATCCTCTCCTCTATCCCTCTTCTATCCGCCTCCCACTCTCTCCCTATTTATTTCAAAACCCCCTTCCCCTCCCCCTTTTCTGATGAAGGGTCTAGGCCCGAAACGTCAGCCTCTCTGCTCCTATGATGCTGCTTGGCCTGCTGTGTTCATCCAGCCCTGCACCTTGTTGTCTAAGAAATAATGACATTTTCCTTCATGACTAAATGAAGTATTTTAAGCAGGAGAGAAGCTTCCTTCTGTGGGGTTTCTATTGTCAACTTAAAAAAACTTTGATCGAATGCCTCATTCAAAGAATAGCAACTTCAATGATTTCTGTTTACTTGTAATTGTATGCAAGTCACAGCATGGAGCTGAAACCCATAATATGGTTCTAAGGTACCAAGTTATCTAAGTAAGATTGGAATGACCTCTCAAGGTTCCCCCAATTTAACTGAGAGAGTAGCTAAAATGTTTATTATATCCTTTGTAGAGAAGCTGCAAGAGGGTTGACACATTTTAATTTGAATGTGTTCCTCTCTCTCTCTCTCCATAAACACACTTAACATGCACTCGATTGCATTGATCCTTTTCATAGACCAACATTTCTTTTATCAATTTCACTTCCAATGTCCATCCTTCCCTCACCTTCACTTGGTCCATCTCTGACTCTCCCTTCCTTTCCTCGACATCTCTGTTGCCATTTCTGGGGATAGGCTGACCACAAATATCCATTACAAATCCACTGAATCTCACACCCTGCTTCCTGTAAAGATTCCATTCCATTCCATTCTCCCAGTGTCTCTGGCTCCATTGTATCTGTTATGGTGATGCCACCTTATGCAGGGGAGCCTCAGAAATGTCCTTTTTCCTCAAATGAAGAGTCCCTGCCACTGTGTCCAACCTATTTCCTGCACTTCAGCCCATAGCCCTTCTCTTCTCTCCCATAACATTGATAGGGACCCCCTCACTTACCACCCAACCAATATCATAAGCTGCCACCTCCAATTGGATGCCATCACCAGGCATATGCTTTTATTGTGATTTTCACATATTGTCAAACTTTACAATGGCTTACCTTTTTTAGGGTTTTCACTTTTGGTTTTACAATCTATCATGGTAAAATGTGCTTTCTTAACTTCCAGGACAATACAACAGGTGTTCCTCTCAGTGGAAATCCAGGTTACATTGTTGGACTCCCTCTAGTGGCTGGATTTGGACCAAATGCCTCATATCCTTCACTCATTGCCTATCTTAACTATTCATCCGAAAAAATGTTGCATCACTATCCCTGCTGCCACCTCCCATCTCTTGAATAAATCTAACATTTTATCCTTCCTTGCTTTCCTGGAAGTTTCTGTGTGTAATCGTCATTGTGTAAAGTACCATGTTCTAAATTTGCCTATTATTGATGTGAGCTCTTTCTGAATTTCCCCTTTCTTTACTAGTTACCATACCTTTTGTCAAGTTATGTGTCCATTTCTCATTACTCTGTATCCTTTGTTGCCAGTTAAGGCTCACTAAAGTACAAAGTCATCACATTTTACATTCAAAGCAATACATTTCTTAATGTAAAGTTGCGAAAACTTTGCATCTCTTTCCATCACAGTATGTATAAAAACCTACTGGTTGTCTACAACATTGTTAACCAGCTTCACATCTAAATTTGTTTCTCAAACTGGCAATCTCCATTCAATACTGTATGTAAAATAATAAATTGTCCATGAATGGAAATGTGTTTCAAAGTTCTGATGATGTCATTTATCAGTTTTACCATATTTTCAGGTTTATGACCATTTATGAGTCTCCATCTTAGATATACATTTCCGTTTTCTTTTTCAATTTGTTTTAAAATGTCATTTTAACCAATGAATTGATTCAATTTTGTTTAATTTGGCCTCTACTTCTGTAGCTTGTAACATAAATAAAGCAGATATTGTTTATGGTTTTGGGGGAGGGTGAGAAAGGAATAGATCCTTGTTACCTTGTTCAGAGCCCTGGAGAAAATTAAAACAACCTTGAAACTGGAGAACAATGAAAATTTCTAAAGTAGACATTTAAAATAAGCATAGTGTAAAGGATTTATATTCAACATTTTAATTATTGGTTTCAGAAACCTAATTTTCCATATTTTGTCTGGAAATGTATCCTTAACTTAATCTTTCCACATTTGGTATAATTCAGAGCAAAAACAGACTTGGGCAGCTGACTGTCATTAAGAGTTCAACCAATCAGGACTGTTTATGGATGGAAGGACTTCGGACACCAGTACTTTTTGGATATAATTTACATTCAGGTTGTACATTGCGGTAAGCACTATAGGATCACTTTACTGTGTCCATTTAACAAGCAGTCAAGTTGTTCGGTGCTGGCAACAATTCAAGAAAATGCCACAGTATTATAGATGCCAGTGTGATAAAGGTTAAACTAGTACAATGTATATTATCATTCACATCCAATGAACAGGTGCACTAAGAACCTTTAAACTAGAAGAAAATTATTTAGCAATCACCTGAGATTATGGGTGATTTTCCTTCCTCATTGGTTGGATTGTGGAAGAAAAGAGCAAAGTTTAATGGTAAGACCGGCTGCTGAGTCCCTGTACCAGCTAAACTTCCCTTCAGCTACTGTAGGGTCAGTTTAAGTCTCCTCTCTCACCTGCCTACTGGAGTTCCAATGTTCTAGAGTAAAAGTAACAAAGTGGATTATGGGGATCCTGTGAATATATCTGTACTTCTAGAAGGTATTTAATAAGGTGCTGTGCCAAAGGTTAATACACAAGATAAGATCACACGGTGTTAGCGGTAATATATTACCTTGTATTGACAATTAGCTAACCAACAGAAATCAGAAAGTCACCATACATGGGTCTTTTTCTGGTTGGCAAGCTCGAACTAATGGTGTACCATAGAGTTCAGACCTCAGATCCCAAATATTTACAATCTTTTTAATGACTTGGATGCAGTGATAGGATGTACTGTAGCCAAATTTGAGTTTACACTAAAATAGGTGAGACGGTGAGTTGCAATGAAGAAATAAGAAATTTACAAATGGATATGGATAGGTTAAGTGAATGCACCAAATTAAGCAAATGGAGTTTAATGTGGGTAAGTGTGAGGTTATCCATTTTGGTCAGAAGAATAAAAAGGCAATATCATCTAAATGGAGAGAAACTTCAGAATGCTTTGGTGCAGAGTGATCTGGGTTTCCTCTTGCATGAATTGCAGAAAACTAGTATGCAGGTACCATAGGTAATAAGGAAGGCAAATGGAATTTTGGCATTTATCACTAAAAGAACAGAGTATACTAAGTATGGAAGTGTTGTTGCAACTGTACAAGACATTGGTAAGCCCACATGTGGAATACTGTGTACAGGTTTGGTCCCCTTACTTGAGGAATGATGTAATTGCATTGGAGGTAGTTCAGAGAAGGTCCACTAGATTGATTCCAGATATAAGGGTTTGTCTAATGAAGAGAGATTGAGGAGTTTAGGTCTATATTTGCTAGAATTCAGAAGTGAGGAAATTTAATTGAGGTGTAGAAGATGCTAAAGAAGATTGACAGAATAGACCTACAGCGGATATTACCCCTTATGGGGGCAGTCTAGAATGAGAGATCTCAGCTGTGGTAGATTTAAAACAGTGATGAGAAGGAATTACTTCTCTCCAAGGGTCATGAATCAGCGTGGGGTGGGTGCCAGGACACTGAATAAATTTAAGAAGGAGATAGACACATTTTTAATTAACAACAGGTTAAAGGGTTATGGGAAGTGGGTAGCAAAGTAGAGTTGAAGCTGAGATGAGATCAACCAGGATCATATTAAATGGGCAGAGCAAGCTCAAGAGACTGAATTGCTTACTCCTGTCCCTAGTTCTTCTGTTTTTCGATGGTGATGTTTTCATGCATCTGCTACCCTTTTTCAAGATGGCAGAGGTTGTGGGTTTTGAAGGCAGTCATTGGTGACAAAAACAATTAACATTTCAGGCTTGTGATTTTTCATTAGAACAGCAAGTATGGCACCATTTTTGTCTTGAATTTTTGTCTTCTCCCTCAGACTATTTCTGCAGCTGAGCACTGTGCTGACAGACCACAGAAAAATGAGGCAGATGGATCAGGAATGCCCCATACCACTGAGTTTAAATGTTCAGACCATTAATACAAGTTATAATCCCTGTGCTTTATAGAGAGTGGAGAATTGTCATCAAGAAGCTCCAATCTTCTTTTACAGCTGAAGAATATTCATTCACTGGATGCTGTCCTAAGGAAAATGACCCCCATTATTTCACTGGCTAAAAAGTTTACTTATAGCCTTTTTAGACTAAAAGTATTCATATATAAATTACTAAGTGTCTTCTTATTTGTTCTTAAAGTATAATGAACAGCACAACATGCCATCAGTGGTCGCAAATCATTAGAAATCTGTTAATTGGGCAAAATTTTCCAAATATCGTGGCATCATTTGGAAATTCTCCAGTCCAGTATGTGAAAGACTGGGTGACCATCAAGCAATTTACCTCTAGAGCTCAGGTAATTACACAAATAAAATATGAAAATGCTTAAAAAAATTGCTATTTCATTAACCTTTCTGTACAGACATGTAATATTTTGCAATATTAATCATACCAGTTTCTCAATAAATGAACCCCAGCACTGCAGTTGAAAAGGGGAAGATTTCACTGTTTAGTTGCAAGTTTAAGTGAATGTGTTTATTGCCTTCTTTGGAAAAGCTTTTGTATAGTCTGTGTTTTCAAAGGCTTTATAAACACTAGAAAATAACTGGCAAGAAAATACTATATTCTTTTAACATGCATAAAATAAATTAATGATTCAAGACTTTTTTCTCCTAACAGACAGTTTATCAAATCTACTTGCTGTTCAAGGGAAGTCTACAATTGTATGGGAATCAGTTTAATGAACTTGGTTGATCCTGAGACAATTTATGATTATAATAATGCTCTTAAAATTACTGTATACTTTAAAAGTAAAAGAAAACACTGAATTTTGTTTCAGAGTAACTTCTATTCTTTTCTCATTTTTTGTTTTTAAACAAATTTTCCAAAACTATATTTTGTTATTTATATCAGATCTTTAGAAAGAGACTCATCTCGGAATTTCCTACAGCAGTGTGGGCTGGATCTTACAGGAGAATGCCTTGTTAGATTTTTATTTCTGTACCCTTCAGTTCATTTGTATTAGTTACGAACTGAACTGGTGTGGCTAGGACACTGGGAAATTTGGGACCTGCATGAATGGCAGCTCAACTATGTTTCTCCATGAGCAATTAAGTTTAACAATTGGGATAGAAACAGAGGTACCATAGTGGAGGAGGATGAATTAGACTCAAATCAGAATTGCTGAATAGAGAAGGGATGGAAAAGAAAAAAATAGAAAACTGAAATCAATGTACAATTTGACAAATTTAAAATCTCTAAGACTACTGGAATGAATTAGAATCTCACTTATTGTCCTGTTGTAACTTCTATGATTTTAAATTGTTCAATTTCTAGTCCAGAGGCTAAACTGACATTGCATTGATGATAATCATGTTGTTAAAAGTACTTGTATATAATTATCGAACAACACTTTTGTTTTGAGTTTAAAGGCCAACAAATATACAAATCCATTAAATTATTAAATATATTAGGGAAGCTAAGGGTAAGATTCTGATTGTGTGAAATAAATATAGCAGTCAGTTCTGGAGGTTTGTAATTCATCGTGAATAGTTGTGCATTTATAACGTTTTATATCATATGTTAAATTTTCCAGTGAGAGACAATGCAGTTCTTTGCACTTGAGCTGAATTTTGCAGTCACCGGCATATAAGTGTTTTTTCTACAGTTTCACGTTGACTTTGTATGGACATCTGCACTGGAATTTTTAGACAACTATTGGTAAAGCTAATGCATGTGTGGGTATGGTGAGACCACGCTTTGGGTTCTGTGTACAGTTTCATTCTCTGTACTTAAGAAGAAATATACTTACCTTGGGATTGCAATAAAAATTCAGAGTGACTTCTAGGATGAAAGGTTTTTTAAGGAGAGATTAGATAGAATTAACTTATATTCTGAAGTTTGGAAGCATTAGAGGTATTCTCATTTGAAACATATAAGACTGCGAGAGATTGAAAGGATAGTTCTGAGAGATTGTTTCCTCAAACTTCGAAACTCTCGGACCTGGAAACAGCTTTAAAATAAGGGATAGGGCATTTCAGACTGAGATGAGGAAAAATTGTTTCACTGAAACGTGATAAGGCTTTCAAGAGGGTCTAGGATGATTATTTGAGTAAAAATAACATGCAAGAGTATGGGGATAAAGGAGATTGGAAGAATATAATGTTCATTTGAACAGCTGGTGCAGACACTGAGTCAAATAGCATCATTCAGCACTATAACAGTTGAGAGGGTTGCAATCTTCAGGTTTCTCTGTTCCAGTACGTTGTGGTTACTTAGCTGTTGCATTTATTCAAAGCTGAAATGGATAGATTTTTGTTCTCTGAAAGATCCAGAAATCTGGTAAGAAAGGAAAAATTGGACTTAAGTATACTATTGAATGGTGGAGTAGGCTTTGAAGGGCTGTTTACCCTACTCCTTAAGATTTGTGTGGACAGAATAAATACGTAACTCCGTAACCAATCACATTTTTGAGCAGTGCAGAATCTGAACCTTTGATTATTGAATTTATTGTCAAATCAGATACAAAAGCAAAATAAAGGAAGGAATAAAAAGAGTGAATTGTGCAAGAAGGATTCAAGACAAATACATTTCAAATTTAATCTTTTTAAATCTCTGGTATTAATTAAAATTTGGAACAAAAACAGAAGTTGCTGGAAATACTCAGCAGGTCTTGCAGCATCTATGAAGAAAAAGAATCAGTTAACATTTCAGGTCCGGTGACCCTTCCTCTGTCTGAACAGCATCCCACCCAGACCCATTCACCTACCCTTTCCCTGTAACCCTGCATTTCCCATCTAACCTGCACATCCCTGAACATTATGGGTAATTTAGCATAGCCAGTCCACCCAACTTGCACATCTTTGGACTGTGGGAGGAAACTGGAGCACCTGGAGGAAACCCACACAGACAGGGGAACGTCCTTGTGAGGCAGCAGTGCTAACCACTGAGCCACCATGCCACCCTCATCTTATTTACAAACTAATATTGAATCATAAAATCTGACCCATTCTTATAATTCTACCCCTGGATGTAGTAGTCAATTTTGCTGAGACAGTGTGTAGTGTGATTGTGTTGATGAATTCGCCAGCCAGCTAATTAAATCATTTCTGAACCCTGCCAATGTTTTGTTAGACTGTTTGTGCTCTTATTTTGTTCTATTCAAACAATTTAAGATGATAGCAAATAGAACTATCCATTTTATAATGCCAAGTGCATGCAAAGTTTGGAGTGTTGAAGCATGTAGTGTCATTTCTATCATTAGTCTTTCTTTTTCTAACATACATGGGATTAAAAGATAAAAGACAGCACTCTTACTTATACTCTGCAGAATAAGTAAGTACCTTATTATGATTTGGATTCAAGGAATTATAGTGTCTTGCATAACTGTTGGCTTTTATTACAAGTAATATATATATGTGTGAGGCCAAATGAGCAGTCTTTTACATCAGAATTTTGGATATGTAGCTTTATGATAAGTGCTTGCATAGGTAGCTGTAAGCCTCTAAAAATATTCCAACTTTTCACGAATATATTCTAGTTGAATTCAAATCTTACTAAAATAAAAGTACCCTTTGTTTACAGAGTTGTGATTGTGAAGTTCCTCAGTCTTTAGCCCTCCGGGTAATGTGGACAAAGTATGGATCCTTAATAAATCCACAGGCTAAAATAGTCGATGTCACTCAAACAATCAGAAAAACCTGCATTATGGTATGTCAATGATTCTCTTAAAAGAAAATGCTCTGTATTTTAAAAGACACTGTAATACCAACTGAAAGAAAATAAGCATTGTAGACTACGAAGGCAATTATTTGAAATGTGGTAACACAAATTTCAGTGATTACAAATATTAAGATTGCTTAAGTCAGCATTTTGCTCCTAAAGGCTTACTAATGCATTCAGCAGTGTCATGATTTAAGTTTACAGTTGGCTAAGATTCCCATTGGATTACTTGTGTTTTTGACTTTTTTGTCCCCCGTGTCATAGGTGACTCTTATTGTCAAGTTCCAACTTCCTGTACCTTTCAGAGTACTTATTCTCACTTTGAGACTTAATGAGCTTTTGATAACATGGTCAAAAACTGTCTAGCAATTATTTTCCTTTTGTTACTAAAGAATATTCTGTCTCTGTAGACTTTCTCTTTAAAGTGACAAAACTTCATATCATGCCTTATTTACATTCAAAATATTACTTTATCTCATTCAGTTGTTCATTACTTAAGACATCAGTTTCAAAGATGTGCTAGTATTTTAAACTCCAATGTTAGAAGACTTAAGAGGTACAATAATCCTTCCTTTTCTTTTAAAACAGTTGGAACCTATATTAATCTGAATTATTTCTTGGAAACGTTTGCACTAATATTGACTCTGGTTGATAATGGGGAAAAAAGCTGTACGTTGCTGGAAGGTTTAAATGAACCGGGGATATAGGCGGAAAATTGCTGAATTGAACTCCATTCAGAGAAGTGTCAGAAGTCGTGCATTTGTAGAAGTCAAACGACGCAAGCGAAATACACAATTATTGGTAGATATTACAGGAATAGGAGTCTTTAGATTACATGTCCACCGATCCTTATAGGTACCAGTATAGACAGTAGGGTGGTTAAGGCATACTGAACATTTTGCAACGTTCCTATACTTTAGATAATGCGTTTATTTTTCCAGGAAATGTATGATGCTAAGTAACTGAAGAGATTAAGTCTACCATATTAATATCTTTCTTATGAAATTTATCTACACCAAGAAATACTCTTTTTCCTATACTAACAAAGCACAAGGAATTGATTGGAAAAAGTCTTATGAATTTAAAATGAATTTAAAAATTCTAACTTAGCTAAACCTAATTCTTCAGGCAGCAAGGATGTGTGCTGAAGAATAAATCATTATAAACATAGCTCCAAATTGAATTTCAGTTTTCAGAAACTGCTGAATCCTCTTGCATTGTTTTACACTTTAAAACTATAAGTTTTTTTTTATTTTCTAGATGCCTTTGAAATCTGCAAAAACTTTACATATTTCTACCTCTGTTACTTTTACGGATATGTCAGCATCTGCCCAGCCTGGATACAAAATGAGACCAACGATTGATGCCAAATTGCCTTATGATTTCTTCTTTCCTTTTTTGTGAAAGGTCCTGAACTGCTCACAGGGACAGGATTATATTCAAATTTTAGCCTGAAATTGATAATATGTCTGCTTTGTAAAGTTATTGATTATTTTTCAGCTGAAATTCCCTCAAGTGTCATGTTTTCTAGCTAGATATAGGATCAAATAATTTGTACTTATTTATACATTGTACATTGATGAAAGTCTTAGGTTTCCAACTCGACAGCATTTACAGAATAGGAATTGCAACTACAAACAGGTATTCTTTAACAGCACTGAATTCATTTACATGCAGAGCACAAAGTACTGTAATATTTATAGCATTAAAGGATTTTGGACACTATTTAAACAGTATTGTAAATGGTCTGGTACCATTATTTTATCTATCTTTTAAATAGATGCTTTCTATGCAGGGAGAATTTTTAAACCTAATTTGTACTTTTACAATTCATTGCTGCTTTTGCTATATCTTAAAATTGTTATGAGTTTTCCAAAGAAATTTTAAAAAGTGTATGACTGTCTTCATAATTCAACCATCTATTTCAAGAAAAATTAATTTCATTTTATGTAAGTTACTGATTTCCAGAACTATTTTAGATCAACTGTCTATATCTAGAAAACTAACACTTAAAACAAATTGGCAACATTTGTGTTAAGTG